GAACATCTTCATATATCTCAGACTTTTGCTTACCATAAAAATATGTAAAAAAGAGATTTTTTTCGTAATTTCGAAAAAGAAATTCCGGAAAATCGCATTCGTGAATTGGATATCGGCCAGCAAAGGAATATACACACATTTTATTTGATTGTAAAGTAATGAGAAGGCGCCATTATATATGTTCCTTTTAGGTGTATGTAAACGAGCAATATTTTTATACCGCAAATTGGAGCAAAAACATCATTAAAATATATTAATATATTTTGTGCATGTGGAAAAGAAGAAAATGCGTCGAATTAGTAATTTCATCGTCGTTTTCGTTTCAGTTCTTGGATTTGAATGAATGGATTTTGATGCATACGCGCGCATTTGAGAATAAAATGTAAACCTGAATGGTTGACTACATCAAGTTTAAATTTAGTTTTTTTCAGCACACACGGCTTCACTTGTCGCATCCTCTCCATTCCCGTCATCGTTTGATTATTGTACATAATACCTACAGCTATACCGCTCTAAAATCCACACAGAAGATAAAAATGACAATAAAAATGAAACAAAAAAGAAATTTATATATATTCTATTATTAAATTTTATTATTTGTGCTGGTGTTCGATGCTGACAGTCGAATAAAATTAGAATTTATAACCAAACTTCATCTGTTTATCTATGTTCTGACACATTGCCATCACTTTTGCTTACATCATATGAATAGTGATTTGCTTGAACGCCAAAAAACAATAAAAATGAAAACAACTCTATTTCGATTCAAGTATTCTATGAAAACGAACATAAACACATAGTTATTCAGGTGAACATGTGACTATTTTCGTCAAGGGATTTGGATTTTTCAGTGACATTTCTCACTAAATTCCATTGGTGTTTTCTGTTTTTTTGACAAAAATATTTTGAAGCGACGATTATACACTCCTGTTGGTATTTAAAAAAAAAATATTTTTCGATTTTTTTCATCATCAGGTGTGAATGAGCGAGGGAACATCTTATTACTAAACCAACCACATACAATGCAACAATGAAGAAAATGTATGGCAAACAAAGAATTTTGTTATGAAAATTCAGTTTCAATGAAATGTTACTGTAGCAATGGCAAACAATAATAATGTGTCAACTCATTTATCATCATTAACATGCACAACGTACTGCAAAACATTAAGCGAAGCAACCAAGCTCTCTATTTTTCAATCTTTCATTTCAAACTCCGCTATCAGTTCTTCTTCGTGTCGAAATGAAATGTAATGAATGGCTCACAAAATTGGTTATATGGCGCATTTTCTACATGCAAAATCAAATTAAACTAATTTGGTTTTTGGGTCGATTGTTGAATAAATACGCAGCATCGTTGAGTGCGAGTGCTAATTCTTCTTGTGTGCCATTTGTTGAAAGTTAGTTGAATATTTGGCTGATGTTCAGGTGGTTTACATTTGATATAGCTTGACGACTGAAAATGATCCCCGAATTAACTTTGAAAATTATATTAAATAACAAATACTGATAATAATAATACTGACAACGATGAGGTAAATTGTTCGGGTTTGTTTTAAAATAATCAAAAGTCAACGTACTACATTACCGTATGCTATTCGTCGTAATCTGATGTGCCGGTGATGTGTTATTAATGTCTTAATGCAAATTTTAATGGCGTTCTTAGCTCTTCGTACGTCTCTTTTACGAAATACACGATGAACTTATACCGCAGGTTTTTAAATTAAAATTACATTTATCATGACTCCATGATGTATAACATTTGTTATTTCAGCACAGAAAATGGATTAAAAGGTGCCCGTACATGGTAGATGCATTAGTAAATTCAATAATACAGCAAAAAATATATATTATTTTGTTAAATATAAACATGCGTGTGTGTGTGTATGCAAACATTGGACAGAAAATGAATTGTGAAAATGTCCCTTCAAAATTTCATGCAAACAAAAAAGGCTACAAGAATTGAAAAGAATTGAATAACAATAATTTACCTGTAAAGTTTGAGTGCCATGCAATACAATTTGCTAATGTTAGTCGAATCCTTGAAGATGGTAACTGTTGGTAATGTGGCTTTTTGATCGATGACTTTAACCTGTACCTCAACATTGTTTGTCAGAATGTCACTGAATCGCTTGTAAACGACGTCTTTGAATGTGGTCACCGAATGTTATTTGACTGGAATGGTTTGTGTTGGATAGTAAGTTAAAAACGATGTATCGCTTAGCGCATAAATATTTGATGCAAACACCAAACCGGGTGTCACCTTCATCCATGTAAATGGCACTTGTTCAGTGATGATTCAGTTTCGACAGTAGCTTTAATATTTTCAACGATGACACACAATGTCCCGTTCAAAAATGGATACGACACAATTGGCCATTTCCGAATGCCGTAATCAATGTATTCAACGATGTATAAGCTGTTGATATTCGTTCACAAACTGTTGGATTAACGTATTGATGTAGTTGATGTTACGCTCATCCAAATTGAAGTACACAATACTGGTTGACGATACATGTGACACCTTGGCACTGGCAATTTTATGTGTCGAAAATGTGGAGGTTTTGACAATGATTCACCAAATCGGTTTAATAAAATCAGTTTGAAATGCATGCAAATGTAATCGAGATTTTTTTTCATTTGTATGATTTAATTGTACTTATACTGTGGTCAGCTTTCATCAAGCATCCAACGAATGCTTATTCACAAATCATTTGGATAAATTACACAATTACCGATACCAAACATCTTGAAATAAAACGCCCGCAGGCCAATATTCAGAGTTTTTAATGGAACCGGAGCAATTTCCACACGAGTGTCCGCACCTATTCTATAACATTTTTCACGTAACAAGGAAAGTATATCAACGGTTAACAGATCTGGCAATATTTCGATATTTCGTCGTACAGTAATTGCATTCATCAGAGGACAAACGATTTTAATCAAACGGTTCTTAAGCATTAAAACACAATGAACTCCGTCATTACGATACTTCATCATGGACTGCAATTCCATTTTTGCACATTTAGCGTTTTCTCTTTAAAACTGCAATCGGAACAATGTAAATGATCGAATTTCGATAAATTGAGTATGCCATTTTCAATTAGAAAGTGTTGAAATAATATGCACAATTCACAAGAATAAATGTATTTTGAAGACACCAATGGTTGCAACAATTGTTGATGTTGTTTATAAAGTAGCTACGTTTTCTTCATCATCTTCAATTTAATTATTCGTATTTTCCGATCATGTAAATATTCTAACCACGGGCGTATTTGTTATGTGTTACATATACATCGCATTCAATGCTGGTTCGGTGAATACATTTCGTTTGTGTAGAGTTTGCAAATGGCATGCACTCGACAAAAGTAATTTATACAAGTGGCTCAATTATGAGGTAAGATAATGTGTTATTTCGTTTTCTTTAGCTGCGTTTCATCAACGAAAAATTTCCGGATATACTCATTTTCTCATTCCACACCGGTTTGCTTAGCGAATGGAAATGGTGCGTGTTTATAAGTCGATGCACAGTGTGAGAGAACGCGATAGGCATGCAGCGAATTAGTTCAATATACAAAGCGAAACAAAACATAGATTAAAAGCGTGATTCGCACACTGTTACCGATGAAAATTGTTGTTTAAGTACACACAACAGGCAACAGTTGTTGTAAACCGTTGACGCCGGAATGTAGTTTTATGTTTGTGTATTTGATGACAAAATTCCGAGTATTCCATCTTTTGTGTGTGTGTGTTTTAATATGTATTGACGGTACCGGAGCGCCATTATCACGGCAGGCTCGACAAAAGACAAACCTATCCACAGCGCGATAGCGTTTGCAATATGATGAAACAAAATTATGCTTTCCTTTAATATCATGGAAATAGACGCACGCACGCCCAAACTCCCGCAAAATACTTCACATGGAACCGAGCAATTTACAAACGTAATGAGGTAATTATGTGTATATGTGCGCCGCGGTAAATTTTAAGGTATTTTCACTTGTCTTTATTAACGTGTACTTTGAGCCGTTCACTCATTGCTTGTGGCATATTTGAATTTGAACGAGCGAATGAGCTCGTAAGCAACGGAACCAACAACATCCGCGACAAACATACACACCATCACTCTATCGCTCTGTACTTAAATAATGTTGTAAGATAAGGATTATGACATGTAAATTGCTTGGTGGTATTGTCACATTGCCATTTCCATACAATTTCTATTGGTAAGATTTCGTTCCCTTTTTAGTTCGTTTTATTTTGAAACATTTGGCATGAAGAATGTTTGTTTTATCATTTCGATGATGTGCCAACAAAAAACCTGATAGCGACATCTCAAAAGTAGAAATTCAAACTTGAAAAATGTGTATTACAATAAGTTTTCTTGATTATGATTTAACCGGTTGAAGAAGATAGTATATTTTGACATGGAAGTATCTCATAGCTTAATCAAAATAACAAAATAGCCCAAGTCTATTGTATATTCGTTATTTTATTCTCATTGAGCATATAATGAAAAGAAAACCTCAAAAATGTTAAGTAATAAAACCGAGTCAACGTGTGAGCCTATCAGCATTCATTTTGCAATTTGCTTCTTCTGGCGGACTATTTCTTGTGAAAGTAATCTTGGTGAAAATAATGCAGTAGAAAAAATTAGAGTCATTTGCAATACATTATGATCAAATGTATGGAAATCCCAACAACTTGTTTGTGGTGTTGTTGTTTTTCACTCGAAACAACAGTAGTAGTTGTTGCGATCAACAGAAACAGCAAATAAGCAGAAACTTGTTTAACAAAACAACAAAACTGATTTTGTGTTGAAGAAAACCAAGAGCCGCTGCATTTTGCTATACAATCTAGAATACAGTAGCCAGTTTTTGATTGTGATATTCGTATGGTAATACATTTATATACGAGCATTTCTGTCAAACAGCACAGCACACACAACTTGAAGCAAAAAAAAAATATAAATAAAAACAATAGTCATCAGTTGATATAGAAGCGTATGAAATGTGCGTTGTTGTTGCTCGTTTCGTTCTATCGGCCACTTAACATTTCTGTTTCTTCATTTTTTACCATATAATACAGTCACATGCGCATCTTTGTGTGGACGGCATAATGATAATCCGATATGTCGTGTGGTGTTGTTGTGTGAATAGTAGACTTTTGTTTATGCTTTAGTGTTGAGAATTAAAATGTGACTCGCACAAAAATGATAATACCAGCCAGTTTTATTCATTTCGATCGCGTACAAGTTGACATCACAACCTTAACAAATCTGGATGTGATTGTTTATTTGTTCAATAATTTCCAATTTATTTTTCATTTCGTTTGTGCTGCCTACCTTTAATAACATTTCGTTTTTTTTTTATTTCGATTTGATAGAATATATTTTTTGGATTTAAGTACAAATCGCATTGTGTATAAGTTTAAAAATTTACATGTTTTACTAAATACATTATTATAGTGCAATGAAAAATAGTATAATTTTGTCCATTGTTCTGTTGCTCTATGCTGGTGCCATTGTAAAAGGTAATACCAAATAAGTGTTTTCAAAGTTTTCGTGCAAGAAAATGCATATCAAATAAGTATGGGAAAAAAATACGCTGTATTCAAGTCGATTGGTACTTCCCAGACGTCTGACATTTTTTTCATGCCAGACAGTGCAACATTTTTGTAAAATTCACGTCACACACAGAAACACGAATAAAAAACCTCGAAGATATTTTGCGTATTTGGGTATTTCCTTCGATTGGATAAAAAATCATTCACAGACAAGGTATATTAACACATTTTAATTTGGTTAGGCCAGCCAGTGATGATGACAACAAACACTAGTTTATCGTGCAACATTGAAATCAACCGGTTTTCTCTCTTTGCATTTTTTTGTAATATTAAAGATGAAAACAAATATGAAAAAAGACTTAAAGAGCTCAACAAAACATGAACACTGTCTGAATCTTATGTGTGCGATTCATCGCTGAATATACGCTACAATAATCAGTTAGTTTTGTATATGTTTGTGCAACAATAAGTAATACATGTTGTATATATATGTGTGAAAGTGTTTTCGTTCAGTTCAGCGTTCAATGTCAAAGCATTGTCAGCTGTATGACTATAAAATTCAACAAAAATGCCGTCGAGCAAACTGAATTAATTAAACGTTGAAATGATAATGAATTGATATTTCGGTTTTTCCCATGTTGTTGCTATAGGTCAAGAATCTGGTTGTGATGCGATTCTTTCGTGGCAATGCAAGAATGGTGAATGTATCGGCATCGGTGAACGTTGTAACGGTGCGTAGAAATCGATTTGAAATGACATATAATTAAAATGCTTTACAAATGTTAATTAACAAATATGTCTGGATAAAGGTATGGCCGATTGTACAGATGGTAGCGATGAAACGGTACGCGAATGCATTTCATTTCAATGCAGCGGTGATAAGTTTCGATGTACCTATGGTGCGTGTGTAAACCGAACAGCCGAATGTGATGGTGCCAAAGATTGTCACGATAATTCAGGTATCTAATTCGCATCTCGTTCACATTATTCATAATTTATTGGTTAATTGAATTTCATTCTGTAGACGAACTCACCGAGAAATGTCTAGTCAACAATGACGAAAGATTACGCGGAAAATGTTCAGCTGAACAATTTCAATGCCGGTCAGGTGAATGCATTCCACTTGACGACTTGTGCGACGGAAAAAAAGGTACCATAACATTCATTATCTCTAACCCTAGCCAGAAAGCAAATATAGCGATAGGAATTAATTTTCCGGTTATGTTTTAGAATGTCAAGACTCGTCGGATGAATCGGTAGAGTATTGTGCAACAAAATGTTGTCCACCATTTGGATTTAGGTGTGGTATTAGCAGTAAAGGATAGATCGCAGTTTTTCTAAAATATTATTTTGTTAAATAGGTGTGGATATGGCGCATGTGTTGATGAAAAATCACGATGTGACGGTAAGAGTAAATCCATTTAAAAAAAGTATCTATCGTTTTTGAATTATATTTAATAATTGGCTGCTAATTCAAAAAGGAAATATTGATTGCTTGGACGAATCCGACGAAAACTATCTATTATGCGGTTATCCTGAGAGCGGAAGACCTCAACCGACAACAACTACAAGCACAACCATTCGACCTGCTCTTGATCCAAATAAAATTTACTTTACAAATCCATTCGATGATGTTCCAAAAGGTATGATAATATTCACATTGTTCTCAATACGAATCTATAGCATAATGTCGTCGCATTAATCATATTTCAGATGCATGTCGTATCACAACAGTACCGCGTAACGGTTGGATTGAGTATGCATCAGAGCCGAGAGACAAATTATCACCTGGAGAGTTTGTTAATTCGGTCACAACTGTTAACTACAAGTGTCTTGAAAACCATATCATTGAAGGTTCCACGGCAAATTTCTGTTTCCAAGGCCATTGGAGAACTGAAACTCCCGACTGTAAACCAAGATGCAGTACAAAGGCTATAACAGGTGTTTCGATTGTTGCAACTAGTTGTTTCTTGAATGACGTTGAGGTGCGTTGCTCTGAGCCCGCTGAACCGGGTACAATAGCCCGTGTTAATTGCCGTGATCGTTACGAACGCCAATCAGCCGCAAAACAACAAATCATTTCCTGTGGCGATGATGGAATTTGGTCACCATTGCCCGAAACTTGTTCGCCAATTTGCGGTGAAGAAGCACCAGAAGGTACACCATACGTAGTCGGAGGTTTTCAAGCGTCAATCAATGAAGTTCCATGGCATGCCGGAATTTATAAATTCAATGGAAGAACTTATAGTTTACAATGTGGTGGCACAATCCTTAATGCTCGTGTTGTTATATCGGCCATGCATTGTGAGTTAAATCATAGACAATTATTGTTAAACATTTTTCAATTAAACTACATACTTTTTTGTCGTCGTCAGGTTTCTGGGATCCAAGTGAAAATAAACCATTCGATCCATCACTATTCCGTATAGGCGTTGGCAAAGAGAAGCTTGATTATGATGCAATCGAAAAGCAACAAGAGCAAAAATTCGAAGTGGAACGCATTTTTCATGACCCCGGTTATAATCATGCAACAGGCAACTTTGCTGCTGACATTGTTTTAATTGTGTTGAAAACAACGATTGAATTTAAATCGTATGTGACACCAATTTGCATTCCATATGGATTGAAATTTGATGACCTTGTTGTGCCGGCTGGATGGTGAGTTAAATCATAGACAATTTTGTTAAATATATTTCAATTAAAATGGACGCCACTTACTTTTTGTTTTCTTCAAAAAATTATCAGGAAAGGAAGAGTCGCCGGGTGGGGCAAAACATCAAGTAATCGACTTTTGCTTTAATGAAAAACACATCAAATTTCGAGTCTTTTTTTCTTGATAAAAATGTTTCAATTTCTGCCTTTCAGGTGGGGGTGCACCAAGCGAATTCTTAAAAATTGTCGAATTACCAACTATTGATCGTAATCAATGTATTCGAGAATCAGACATTGGATTCCGTCCACAAATTACACCCGATAAGTTTTGTGCCGGTAAATTGGAATTTTTAAACTCAATTTTCAAAAATTGAAATTTAATTTATCAAAAAAAAAATTGTTTGGATTCATTTGCAGGTCTTTTAAATTCGAACGTTAGCGTATGTCAAGGTATATCAATTTTAATTTATATAAATGTAGGTTATTTAGAGGGTGCCGGCCAAAGTCAATTGTATCTAGTGCAAAAAGTTGCAAATTTGCTTTGGACTCTACTGGAATCACAATTGATTTCGTGAAGGAGGGAGAATTTGGGTCGAAAAGTCCTAGAAAATTAAAAATCAACAATATGCCGTGACATTTAAATTGATTTTTTTGTTATCATCACTTTTGTTTTGATTGATTTGCAGGTGACAGTGGTGGCGGCTTAGTATTTCCATCAACTGAAAATAATCGCAAAAAATGGTATATTCGTGGTATTGTAAGCACAGGAGCAAATAAACAAGATAGTTGTGACAGTGACAAGTATGCCACTTTCACTAATGTTGCATACTATGAGCCATTGATTTCAACCTATGAGCCACGCTACCGTCCACGATAGTGTGTATTCACAGCGACGATATTTTTTTGGACGACGATGATATGTAGAATACTCTTAATTAGCTCTGAAAAAAATCTTCATGTGACTAAAATCACTTATGTGAATAGAGAATAGAGAACCAAAAAAAAACTGAATTTGGAATAAAAAATGAAGAAAAGTTGAACTTACTATTTTTTTTTGTTAATGAATGGTAAATTTTCTTTTTCAGGCAAAAAAATGTGCAAAATGTGTTCGATGTTTTCGAAAAAGTGAAAAAGCGAAAATTCCATAATTGTTATTTTTTCGTTATGCGTCGATTGGAATACGTAACAGAAAAGTTCTCTGAATAAATAAAAGGTAGCAGTAGAATGTATGAAAATGATATCATTCGTAGCGTTTGGGTTTTAATGCAAAAAACAAACCACTCAAAAGGGAATGTGTAGATTTATGTCGGTATAAATTTCTGGAAAGTAAATTGTTTTAGCGAAAATAATCAAAGAGCAAGCATTGAGTTGAATTGCACCAGCTATTTTCATCTCAATGTTCTTGTGTACATCGTACATATAATAGAAGTCACTGACAAAGACACAAGCCATGGTCAACGTATTCCCGATGCAATTAAGCAAAAATGACGACGGTGTGGTGCAAAAGGTCGAAAATTATAACGACAATTCGGGTTTCCATGCATATATACATTTAATTGAGTGTGGGTGTATGATGTAGTGACGGGAGAAGGAGTGTGTGTTGTGTGTGTGTGTGTTCATGTGTTCGCCTTCGAGCATTATAAAAGAACCAGATACAAAAAGGTTTTCAAATCTTTTACGACTAATTTTTATCTTCTGAATGTACGTATTTTTTTGCCTGAGAGTTTTCCACTTTCCGGTCCACAATGTGGATTTTACTTGAATAAGCTCCGTAGAGTAATACTTACATATCGTATATGTATGTATGGAGAGAATATGAATGGCGCTTGGGCACACAAAGAAAATTGCACGAAAATACCGTTGGGAAAAACCGAATAAATGAATTTTACCAAACAAATATACTATCTGCTCATTATGTTCACACCAAATATGCCTTGTGCTTCGAATGCCAACTCTGCAGACATAAAAGCGGCCAGAAATAAGGTATGGGGGATGGCAGCCAAGAGATACACACATACTCATATAGAGACAAAGATATTCACGCAAGTAGTGGCGATTGCTGACAGCACAGTTCTTAACAATTACCTCATAATAAACACGTAAGTATATCCATCTTGTATCTATACAAAATAGTTGACCAAACGGACAACAGAAAGTCAGAGAGCTGAATATATAGATACCACCTTATGTATGGATGGTGCGACAAGTCACAACGGTATATTCAATTTGCAGACTTGTGTGCGTTGTGGCCACCTCTCTGGCTTTGTCAGTGTCATGAATGTATATATGTGTATGTGTATGTGCTTTCAACGTGGTTCCACACTATTATCACGTTGATTTAAGATAACTTAATTTAATAAATGCATAGTTCCGTCATGAAATTAATTGTCGTCCTTTTGTTCAATTTTATGTTTTAATGATAAAAAACGCGCTGCACTGTTGGCACACAACAATAAAGCAAAAGTCAACAACAACAAGTAGCTAGCAGTAGCAGCAGTAAAAACGGCAATGGCCATATGTTACGGAAATCAATGAATTTTCATATTGTATTGTGCGACACTTGGTTGTTGTTTGAATACCATCCCAATTCAATTCGAATATGCTTTTGCATCGTTCATGCCATCGGCCGTGATGTATGTTGATAAGCAATATATAAACGTTTAAAAAGACACCTAAAATAATGGGTATAAATCTATTATGTTTAGAGTGGTGGAATGTATATTTGTATGGTTATTTGTGCATAGAGAAAAAATATTGAAATATGTCTATTACCACATCCAAATTGAAATTGAGCGACGTCATCAGTATGTCATTGTTTAATAAAGAAATGATAAAAATACAAATAGATGCTGTAAAAATATCCATTTACCTCGTAAATGTCTGTTCAGTATTATGCTCAGCTGCGTGCATAAAATCACGCATCCGATATAGAATTGTATACAGTAGGTAAACGAATAAAAAAAATTGTCGCAGCAGTCAAGCATAAGCGAAAAAAAAAATGAAAACGATTGAAGTCATTGTGCACAATACACAGAGAGAAAAGAAAATTGATTGCCTCCTGAATGGATAAGGTGATGCTTTACAGGAGGTAACTACTATTATTAACAATAATGCATAATATGATGCCGTCGAAGTGGCTTAGTGACGTCCAAAAGGTTTTTTTCTCTATCGGCACAAATATGATGACGATATCACTTGTGAGTAAGTGTATGTGTGGGCTGTGTAATATATTATGCGACAATGCGCAATCTAAAATACGTATTATAGGCGAAAAGCTTAACCTGTGCGAACAATAGCAAGCCAAGCAAAATACAAAAGATGAGAATAGAAAAATTTTAACTGTGAATGAAAAAAAAAGAAAGAAAGAAAGAAAGAAAAAGACGAAAACGGAAAAGAGTGAAATAGAATAGGTGGAAATGATGATGCTGTGTATTAGTTCGTTGTGTTAAATACACTCTGGTCTTTTTTCGCTGTATGCTCTATCGGTTTATGTTCAATAAAAAGCGTTGAACTGCTTCTGCTCAAGCAAAGGTATAATCCTGAACAAAACCAAAGTAAAAATTCTAGAAAATAAAATATTGTATGTGACACGGAGAACCGAATAGCATGAATTGTATAGACTACATTGAACGAGCGTGTATGGTATATATCACACACACTCAATTTCGCTCATTCGCTCGCTCACTCTTCATCACTTTTCGTTGTGTGTGTGTGTGCATGGTCTATAGTGCGGAGAGAGAAATTTCGATTATGCTGCGAATGGTCTCTTAACAATGAAAGTGCTTTATTGGCATTTTCAGCCGCTTGCACACATCAATACATACTATGCAAAGGTAAAATGCTTACGGTGTGAATATTTTCCGATCACATTAACAGGCATAAATTCAATCAGCCGAACACGAGGGGTGGACGAAGACGAACCTTTTTAAATTTATGTTCAATATTATACTCATCTAGAAGAATGGAATATACATAATAATAAAATGGTAAAGCGTAGAATGGGTGTAAGCAGGCAAGCAAACGAGCCAAAAAAAAAAAAAAAACGACGACGTTTCGAAAACGTATGGAAATAGATTATCGGTTGGCTCATTCACGTGCGAAAAACCTTCTAATGCGCACAAATCAAAAGGCACACAACAAGGCACAGGCAATGCCAAAGACACACACACACAAAGCAAGAGGAAAAAGCAAAAGACACAAAATCAATGTGTATGCACACACATGCTCACAATTTTAACGGCTACCGAAAAATTATGGCCACCCACACTGAAAACTGGCTGTTACTGCTGCACCCCATCCCCATTCCCATCACTCTCTCTCTCTCTCTTACTCTCGTCAATACCGCAAAGACAAAATGGCACATCGTACGTGTTCATATAGCTCGTAGCATAAATGGTATCGTTATTTCCTTAATAAATAACATGTTTTCAAATTTAAGGCTATTGATGTTATGTTAATCGAACGATAAATTTGAAGAAATATTTCGGGCAAGAAAAAAGGCCAACGAAAGCGCAACGAAGTTTCTACTTTTTTTGTTACCACAACGAAGATAAGGTCGCCGGTACCTTTATCCCTTTATATGTAGGTTTTGTACGTGCATTTGTGTCAGGTGAATGGCATAAAAATTTACAATAACACGGATGATAAAATTTATTTGAATTTTATGCTGTCGTGAAGTACAATAATGTCTGATTATAAAAATATGTACAAAACATCGACACCGACCTCAATCATTCGGAAAAAGAAAACTATAAACTGAATACCATATAAATATGTATCTGCGATGAGTATGAGTGTGCGATTTCATCACATCGAATAGAAATGGACCGGTGAGAATAAAACCGAGCGATACACAAGCGTATTTTGAATACAGAGTAGTGGTTTTTGAAGGGCGCAACATTGATTCAAATGTTTAGTTGTATTTTCCAAATGACACTTCTTTATTGCCAGTTTTATTCTGCTCCATTCAAATCGTATTCACAAAAAGTTGAGGATATTTTTGGCAACATCGTTTAAATTTTTTAAACGAAACTATTGAAGAAATATCCCACAAACACTCACCCCCAATACATGTTCGATGAACGTGCATTCAGAAAACGAAAAGTCATTTTTCGAAGCGCATAGATTTCGCTGCAAAAACTTCAACCGATTCGCATGAATGATGGTCCACGTTTATTTTTTCATACCCTCTTCGTTTATTCCTCTGCTTGTCACGGAATACACGCTGTAAACGTATGACAGCCGCATCATTCCTTCGCAACAGTAATCCAAAAATATTTTCATTTTAAAATTTATCTATTTCAAATGAAATTTATCCAGTGATAAATACAGATTAGTGAATTTTATTTGTTTCGATATTCTTTCTTTGTTGGCAGGCTGGCAGCCGGATAAAAGTACCAGTACAACTGTAAGTGAATTGATTCAGCCTCGTTTGTTCACTTGTAAATGGGTTTCCTTCTCTTCGTAAAGTTGTCATGCATAAACACTATGTTCGGTGTCATCTGAATGAATGTGTCAGTCAAATATTAAAAAGTGAAGCTGATTATGAAACGTGGCCACTGGAAATAAAGCAAAGCTACAGCAAAAGCATTGCACAAAAGACTAGAAGCTCGCTCATTCCATAACCATTTCACTGTCTCTCGGTTCAGTTTGTGAAATGAACAAGTGCGAATTATTGCATCATGCATGTCTACTTTTCTCGATTCATCTACAATTGCTATGAATTTCGAATGGAACGGAACCGAACGAAACGAAACGGAAATGAATTGTGTGTGAGAATATGTGTGCTCACATGAATATGAGTTTTTGAGTTTTAAGTTAAACGATCTGGTTTCGTATCGTTTACATCTCGTATCGCCTTCAACCGGCGTTCATAGAAAATATGCGATGGCGATTAGTGTGAACGAAACACGATATTCAGAAATAAATACAATATAAACAGATTTTATTATTTGAAATTCATAATATTTCCTTTAAAAATTTACAAGCGGATTTAAGAGGCATGACCATTGGTGTCTAGCATATGTCAGTGTAAGCTCGATAATGTCGTGAACGCAATTGTCCATGCTTGTTTGTTCGCTTTTGTTATTACCATTCCTCGGCCTTCGAATGCTATGATCTAATTCAGTTTTTGACTGTTGATTCGAACATCTGCAAAGATAAATGGGTGAGCTTGCATTGAATGAGTTGCGAAAAATGCGTGTGAATGAAATTTCAAAGCAAACATTTATGGATACAGAAATATTTTATCATCGAAGTGTAAAATCTCTGGCGATAAAACGTATTTACAAAGATTGCTCATTTTATTTGTTTTAAAATCGGGGTAAGCATCCCGTGTGCAAAAACTGACTATACTGATTGGTTTTGAAATTTGACTTCTAAAATGGTCTATTTCTTGTTAGATACCGTTTGGAGAATTGTGTGAGACCTCAAAATTGAACTCTGGTAATTTCAAAAATTATCTCCTTATTGAAATTTTGACATTTAAAAAAGTATTGACAATGAAACAAGAGGCGAAAAAGACGATAATCGCAAGGCCTACAATTTACAGCAGAAGTTTACTGTTGTTTTATTTATCAAAATACGTTTCGTCTACGTTTCCCTTGAAGCTAGTTCTTTGGCACATTTGATAGTAAAAGGGAAAAGTTGCAATGGATTAATAGTACTAAAGCGAACAATTCGCTTGTAAAATGTACATTGTATAAATCGCTTATATGGCACGATTCTTTGGATGATCAACCAAAAGAGCCAAATGAAAATTGTAGAAAAAGCGGTGTAGCATATTTCAATTCAAGTAAAATGCCGAATAGGTCAGTAAAGGGGTTTGATATGTCATGTAGTATTTCATTCTCGACAGGATGTGTACCATGGTAATGCCAATGCATCCAAACACCAAATCTCATCATTTTCTCTATCACTTTATATGTGTAGATGTGCGTTGTACGATGTCTCTTGTGATGTTGGACGTTGTGATAGGCAATATGCACAGCAATATTTAATACGATGAGGTGAGATGATACTGTCCATGTCCATTTCTACATACATACATGCGGATCATATTCATTGGTGTGAAGCGTCAATGAAACGAATACGGTTCAACACATCCACTCCCCATGAGTTTTGCACAATGCAATGGAAACAGAGTGATCAGAGCGGTAAAGTGATAGACAGAGGGCGATAGAAAATGAATGGTTTGAATGGGCGCGAGATCACACATCACTACTGAGATTTGTGTGGAAATTAAACACATCATCAGTTTTATTACGTTGCTGTGCCAAGAGCTATGCGTTTGAAACACGTTTTGGGTGTAAATGATTGTTTCGACAAAAAACAAAACAAACTCAAATGGTCGCATCAGAGATGAGGCTTACATATGGGGCTCACTGATATTTATATACACACACATATACACGCATGCACAAAATGCTACTCACCTATTTCACACCATTCGCAATGATAAACGAATGGAACCTTTTTGACTTTGTCTCGTTCGACATTTTACATCATATGCAAAACACTTTTTGGCTTTGGGAAAAAAGCTTTTAATCCAGACGGAATAAGATACTCATCATTACGGTACAATTGGTACAATGTATTTCCAACTCTTTCACTCTCACCATTTTTCATTGGTTTGCATTCCTCTTGTAAATACCGGTACAAATGTCCATGATATTCCAGGGAATAACAACGAGAGTTAAACGAAAATCAAGAAAGACAACACCGAAATTACCGTCGACTACCTAAAGCAGAAGAAAAACAATTTGGACCAACAAATGTCATTTATTACATAGGTATCTTACCAAATACTCAAAATGTTTAATACAGACGAAGTGACTGGATTAAAAATTAATGGCAAAACTACAAGTTTATAACTCAACCAAACACCCTTTGAGATCATTAATACATCAACAATGTGATTTCTGAGTGAATAAAAAATGACAGAATCCAACTTTTACAATTAAATGCTACTGATATCTTTAACCATTCATTTCAATTATTTTGTTGCTTCACAACGTATGCACAGCTTCTGTGTGCGGTGAAGTGACGTTTCACACGTCAACTACAACGGAAGAGAAAAAAAATATGTGTGCCTGCTTTTAATCTTACAGCATGAGAACGTAATCTATAGTGGCAACCAGTGACAAGTGATTTGCATTATCTACTTACCTTCGTTTAACAATTTCTTTTACATTTTCTCGCAAAAATGTCTATTGGCTGAATAAATTGTTTGACTCCATCAAATAAATTTCCGTTTATGATGGCTTATACTACCGTTTTCTTCATATCTTTTTCACTCCGAACAATGGCCAAATTCTATACCAGATGTAAATGGGGAAAAAATATGTACAATGCACATATGTTATCTCTCCCTTGCTCTCACTCTCTTTGTGTCTCACCATATCTCGTGTGCACTCATTTTTATATTTCGCAACAGACCTAGGAACAGACACATATAACACGATTATCCCAAAGGACATCAAGTGTAACACGGTAGGTAAATGTCGAAAAACGTGCTATGAATTTACAAAAAAAAAAAATGTAGACAAAAACAGAAGCAATTCACTGTGGCTTCTTTTCGTACGTCTTGTTTACCAGAATGGTATTTGCTTTGCATTCCTTTACGATGATAAGTAAAAGTATTGGCCACCACAAGTTCATTGAATGCAAGTGAATATGTCAATTCTATTGGATCGTAAATTGTATCCCTAGTCATACGCGCGACATTGGAATTATGTGGAAACTTGAATAAAATGTACATCTATTTTAAGAAGAGGAATTTACAAAACATTTAATGTTATTTTGATGTTTGCGTGCACACCAATTATACATAAACCAAGAGCTGTTGGAAGAAATTTCCTTTTCATCTTAGATTTTCATATAGCATATTTATTTTGGTGGGATTTCGAATTGAATTCGAATTGTGAATCAGATGAGAATGACTTTTTTTCGTTATAATTATATGTCAATTGGAAAAATTACTTCAAAATAAACAAAGATCATATTTGAAATCAAATGTAGCCTCTTCATTTTTCTTATCTTTTTCATTTACGCTTCAAAATTTGAAAGACAAATTTTAGTAAATGTTTGTGTTAAATTTTGTAAATATTTTCCCAAAAAAATAACTGATTAGTTGTTGATGCAAATTATCAATAATTTGACATATTCAGTTCACTCTGTTCATCAGGTTAACATGCATTGAACAATTTTTTTTATTTGGAAATTGTCTAAAGTGTTTCAATACTGATAGTGATATCAGTTCCTTGTGTTTTGCCTCACATTAAATGAAAATGGGTATCAAGTAAGACAATAACAATTGTGTTTCTGTTGCTCACAATTGTACGTGCTGTAAAGTTGAAATGTATTATAAATCGATTGTATTGTGAGTTTGCCTCAACTCATCCTGTAATGACATTATGATAATAATTTGTGTTCTTTGTTCGTTAGTATGCATTTGTTGGTTGGCATAACAGACAAATTACGTATAAATAAATCGAAATAATGTCATCGAATAAAGTACTAATTGTGTTATCCATTGCTATATTTGCCACCGGTGTACAGGTATAATATCTAATATCAAATAATATTTGCCATAGATTTATTTCACTCTTTCTTTCTCTCCCATTCGTATGGTCAATTTTTTTTTTGTCTCTCGTTATTGGATTTGGTATAACGCCATATCATTTCAAAAACCCTCGGAATTCCAAGCATACACAATGCACCAATGTCAGTACAGCAATGTACCAACGCGAGCATTCATCGAATGCAACAAACATAAGCAATCAGGCGTACATCAATAAATATTTACCGGTTATGTGGTCATCGCTTAAAAATGCAAATACCGATAAATATTTGCTTACAATCCAAAAACTCAAAATCCCATCGAAGCAATTGTATGACAGAATGAAAATTTGCATTTTAAAATATTTACATGCCATCGAACCAATTGCATTCGTGAACGCATCGAAATTGTCGAACAACAGTTGCGGTTATATGGTTTTGCGTGAGCATGTCGGTGTACTGCATATGGCATCAACAAAAGCATTTCGTTGTTTGAAGTCATACAAAATAAGCACAAGCATCACTTATGTAGATGCACAAACACAGGTAACATAATAATTGTTCTAACCCATCACGAATTTGACCACATATTTTTGGTATCAGGAGTTAAATGAACAACCAAACGCCGATACCATGTATTCCAAATGCCTCGACGAATTGGTGGACGAGGCAACGAACAATTTCGAATTACTTCAACAAAGACTGAAGGAATGTTTGAAGGAATTCACGGCACACGATCAAAATGCAAGCAATTTAACAACGGCTGATTTAAACCAAAAAACAACAACAACAACAGCTTATAAATATTAGTGGAAAAATATTTGTCACAATAAACGATCCGATAAATAATTTTTATTTTATTCTAATTTCATGAGTGAATTATTAAAGATAGGTACAACCATCAACAATTGCGATGAGTGCGGAAAAAAAGCGGGACGTTTTTTTAATTGGAGTGAATATTCGTTTCGGTTTATAAATTTTAGCGATTTATTTGTGGTATACCGTGTCCTTTCCCGTGGAAATTCATTCAAAATTACAATCGGCGTAAATAAATCGCTTGTGAAATATTTTCAATATAAAAAGGAGAGATTCTATTTAATCAATTGTAAATTACGATGCGCATCCGGAGTAAATGGTATTTTACGGAAACAATAGTGATTTTGTTTAATTGGATTTCTCCATTCTATATGTATGCATTCAATCGAGATTTGGGATGATTTGAACGATTTGTTTGTTTGTTTGAATGATTTTTGTGCATGGTTGTGTTGTGCACAACTACCCATCATCAAAACCACTGACCACACAGTCACCAATCCAAATGCCGACACGACACAGATATTGAGTGCTGTCGTAAAAACAGCCACATTAGAAATGATGTGCAACATAATATAATTATTGAAATTTTGTCCATACAATGTGAAATAGAGATAATATTTAAATAATATACGACATACAGTCATCGTTTGATGAACAAGCATTTAATGGCACTGATAAAGCGGCTTTTGACTATGTGCGCTTTTTTTACTCTATCTCACTTTATCGTGTAGCAAAAAGGTGTGATGTATGTGTGTTTTGTTGATTGTTGATATTCGTGCCAATTCACACAATAGTTGGCCACATGATGATTCTGTTACATTTTTCGTAGTGTATTTTGTCATTCAGCTGATTTGATGTTAAATGTTGCCTTTTTAATGTTTCTACAATTCTACACGATGTGATTTCTTTGCATTGCATTTTTCGGTGTTTCGGTTGGTATGCATGTGCATGTGTGCAGTTCGTTGCTATCTCATTTTGTTGTGACATTTCACTGTGAGATGACCGATGCAAGTGAAAAATTACAAGGCGAGCTATTTGAAATGAATTATCGTTCACGTTTGGTCATGCTTGTTTGCATTGTCAGATTTGTGTGTTGGCGGTGCGTGCATTTCCGCATGGCGCTTTGTTATGAAAAATGTCTAATGGCTAACAAATCGAAGCAAAAAAAACTGGCTTAACGACAAAATTTGGGTGCTACACACATGGCATCGCAATTATGAACATATATGGTAAGATACGAGATATTAGAATTAGAGTGAATCATCTTTTTTTGGTATTGCATGTGTATCAAAAACGGTAAATGCTCCAATACAGACTGAGGCATTTTAACAAAGAGAGAGAGAGAGAGAGAGAGAGAGAGAGAGAGTGGCGTACATTGATTTCATAATGAATTTAAAATGCAGCCGATCACTTAAATTCAGTTCGGCTCTCTCGACATCACTTGCATACGAACGCGAAATTTTTTCAATGCAACTGCCATTGCAGAGGCACACAATACACACACACATTCACTTGGGCTTAGGTTGACAATAAAGCCAACGAAGCGTCAAGCGTCAATAATAAATAATTCAAATTTCCAGCTCTGTGAAATTCCAAAGCTCTCGCGCATTCGGCTATCCATCATAATAGTGAAATAGTGGCAACTAAACTGCTATCAGTTGCATAAATTTATTTGCAAAAGCAATCGTATCACTTGACGCTGGCACTATTTCAATCTCTCCACTTTTCGATGGTGGTGATGGTGATGTTGTCGCGTGCACACCAAATAATTGCACATCTTTCTATATCATTGCCAACGTAAAATGAAAATACGCAATTCGCGTGCAAAACACGCAAAAGTGTTTTGGTCGCGTTATATACAATTAATAACCATTCTGCATAATTGTGATTGATTTAGTAATTTTTTGATATAATTTATCGTCGTGTGTATTTGATGTGAAACACTTCAGATTCATTGAGCGCACAACAACAAAACTAATCTACTGTTGTTTTGTGTTCGTTAGTTTTTTTTTTCGTTCGTGCATTGAAGTTTTGAATTTTACAGGGGAAAAAAAGAATAGTTTTTTCGAATTGCGCTTGTGTTTAGATAAAGTATTCATTTGAAGAGTATATTAAAAGTACACTTTTTGGTTGCATTCACTTAAGTAATTAAGCTATCTGGAACAATATGATTGAAGCATATTCGCTCATCTTGCCTGCCATGGCTCTCACTCTGAAAAAAAAAGGTAAACATTCAAAGTGCTTCCCTCGCATGTACTTTTGTTCCAAATGATACATTGTCTGCTATTAAAAAATTGTTGAAAATCATGAATGTACGACGAACTGATGATAACTGGACGCATTTCATTGTTCCCTATTCACCGTCACTTAATCTGATTATGCTCGAATATGAAAAATAAATTTTCAAATATAAAATACCATTTGAATTGTGTCGTTGAATAAAAATGCTTCTGCGATAAAACAGCCAAATGATTGTACGTATTAAAAAGATTATGCAAGATCTCGAGAATGCGCGCGAAAAAAGTGTGTACTTAGCTCATAGAACGCACGTAGCCATCATGTAAACGCAGTTTGCACCATTTTCCATTTCATTTTATTATTTGCCATTAAAATAATGTGAAAACTTTTGTCGTCTGCTTCGTTGTTTTTTTTTTTTCCTCTACTTTCCATGACATTTCCGAGTTGGAAAGTGTGTGTCAAAGAGAGAGATGGGGAAAGAGAGGGAACACATATATATTTGCTTGTTCTTTTTTATTCGCTTCAATTTGAATACAAAAACACCTTTAGGTCATTAAATGACATCATCATGATGGTGTACATGGGTTCCAGCAGCAATTCTGTTTCATGTCAAAAGTGAACCTTAACCGAAATAATATCGGGATAGAGATAATTTCATTTAACGGCACTTTGTCGTCACCATCGTCTTCGTGGTCTTCTTCTTATTCCTTTTCTTTCTCTTGATGTTCGGTCGCTATGGTTCGAATGAATCGTTTCATTTGTACTATAGGTAGAAGAAACGGTGGAATATTCGATGGTTGCAAAGCAAAAGACAACACATTACCGGCGAACATGTGCGCACCTTACGTCATTTTATTTAGAGAAATGCACACGGAGAATGCTCTCTGAGAAGGGAAAAAAACCATTACTGTAACATCCAACACCCTTATCATCATTCTGCCTGACTGCTTCGAATTGACATGGTGGCCAATAACATGATTTTCCTTTTCGTTCGTCTTGTTTTATCATTTCCACGAATGCATTATACAATTTCGCCTTCTTTTTTTTCGTGCTATCACTCTATCACTCGTCGGCTGTCTATTTTGTTATAGAAAGAATGATGGAATGATGCGAGAAGCACGTTTGTCAACGACAGGTAAATCAGCATGATGAAAAATTTCATCGGTTACACAAATCGTTGTCGTTGTTGATTCGATTCATTTACCGCATGCGATCGTATGATATGTGTCATTTTGGTTGTAATTTTTTTTGCTGGCTTGATAAAGGGACAAAAGACGCAAACACAATGGATAAAGTGAAATTTCATTTCGTCGCCGTAAACTGATTATGAAGTTTCTCTCGTTTCAGTAGTCATCAATTTCAACTCTCTGATATGATGACAGTTGAATCGGTACAACAAAAAAGTGGCTCTTATTTTTTTTGCATATAAAAGTTCATCGTATTTTACTCGTGTTACATATTTTATGATGGTACCGGTATTTTTTGAAGCGGATTTAAGGTAAAATTTATGGCGGCTAAAATCTAATGTGCGAATCACTTTTGGCCGCGAGGCTTTATATCATAAAACCTATTGTCAATACTTTCCAAGTCCATGGATTGTGACAACGAAATGTGGAAACAGTCAAAATGTAAGAGGAAGAGGAGCACAATATCCAATGAGCACGTACGCATGAGTATAATGAACTTTCTCTATTATTCGAAATCAATTTTATGTTGGTACCTATAATTTGTAGAAAAAAAATAAGAACCATTTTTTCGTCGCCACGATTCAGTTCTGCTGATGTGGTCAAAATGAAGAAAAAAAAAATGTTGCCAGTGCACGGAAACGGACATCGAGTATGCATTCAATTTCATTTTGGGTGTGCGAAAAGAGATGAAGAAAAACAATAAAATGTAAGTACAGGTCGAATTGAAAACAGCAGTGCAAATGCTCTGACCATAATAATGTGCATGGAATTCAAATAGTTCACAAATACGAAAATCACGGTTTTTCTATATTTTACGATCGAAGTTATGTCATAAATGTCTGTGTGCACCTCAATTTTATCCTTTTTTTTTCTATTCTTCCATTGATGCATAGCATTGTATATATTCAGAGTGTGACTCTTTCCAAACGTACACATTTTACTTTATTAGATTTGTGCTTTTGTATGTGTGTTTGTAACGAAAGCAAATGGCCACACCATTTCCGAATTTTCGAATTGTTGGTCAATTGCGAAATCGTTTCCCTTCAAACTTTCATCATCATTCGCTTGTCTTTGGTTCACAAAAATAAAGTGAACACCAAATATGTTCAGGTTTCGAAGAGGTTTCCCAAGAGTCCATTCACCGACATTTCCATACAATTGAAAGAATGACAACGGTAGCGGCAGTTAACTGAAACTTGATAGGATAAGTGTTTTGGGATTCGTGAATTCACTCATTCCCCCCTGTTCTGTAAAGGAAAAAAAAAAAACGAAAGACGAAGGTCAAGTCAATCTGAATGTCCAGCAACACATACACTCGACGAGCGAAAGAAAAAAGAAAAATCGACAAAATGATTCAATCGACAACATAAAACAATAGGGCGGTATGGGATGGGATGGAATGGGATTATACTCAAACTTTGGATTTTCCTTCTTTATATTGCCTTTTATGGCTGAAATTTTTTTTAGTTAATAGAAGTGTGAGCATTTAGTTTAATTGCATGGCTTGTGCAGATACGATGCAAAATTGCAAAGCACAAAAGGATTCAAAATATTATCTACTACGTTTTTCGCTTGGATTACTTTAGTAAATTTTTGCCAGATGCGAAATGGTTGGATGGCCAATT